GCTGAAAGACTTCAACAGATGGTGTGAGAGCAAGAGAAGTGCAAGGAGGGTTCATTTCAGTCTGTGAATAAACATGTCCTAAAAATACTCCTGAACCTTGCCGCCCCATCTCCCGTGCTGCTCCCTCGTTCCCTCCATTCTTAAGACCTTTTCTGAGCTCCTTTGCCTATGCAGTTGCTCCCTCTGTATGTGATAGCTAGCAAAAAACGGCACCATGTCAATTGTCACTATTTTAATGGCGCAAATTTTTAAGATGCACACGGTGGTGTTCCATAGCCATCACCTCCTATGATGTAAACCATAGATTTTACATGCATCATACCTCCCGCTTCTCAACTAAAAAAAAGAAAAGGTGAAGTTTAAGAGGCTAGTCACTTTTTTCCATTTGTTTAAGCAAAATGGTTATGGAGTGATATTTCTCATGGGCCCCCCTAGCGCCACCTGGATGATCTATGTGACGCTTTTTACTAATTTTTCAAATGTTAAAGACAATTGAGTTCATGCCAATTGATTGCATGAAGCTAAGCTAATATAAGTTCTTAACTTGATCTTGTTGCAGTGATAAAAGGCTTCAAATCAGGCTGTTAGATGGGTTTCAGACTTGAGAACAGAGGGTCTTTAAACATCCTCAGGCATGTAAGATCAGCATAAGGAGCTGATATCACAGCGTAAATATAGAAAGTGCATCATTTTGCAATGAAACGAATATGGGGGTTGCTTGGGGGTGGAGGTTCTGCACCTGTTCTAGCTCCACTGTGCTCTTACACAGAAGTACCAGTAATAAAGTGATTGTCAACATCCTGTTTCATCTGATATCTGTCAAAAGGCAGCAGAAAATAGATAAATCGTTTCTGAGCACCGCTGTGCTGTTGACTAGTAAATTCTGAGTTTAAATTCTCTCACAATCTGGCTTAAAATAACTGATATCATGCTGCCCGCTAGCCTAATGGCTGCTTTAGTATCTATGACAGAAATAATAAATCAGTGGATAGAGTCTTAGTGCTGCCACCTAGAGGAGTATAGAGATATTGGAAATCTCCCAAATCAAAAAA